AACTCACAGAGATCCTCCTGCCTCTGCCTCCCAAGTGCTGGGATTAAAGGCTTGCACCACCACTGTCAGGCTTCCTATTCTCTTTTCAACAAAAGGACACCTATATATCTTACTTTATATGTTCATATTTATCATGTATTTGCAAAATAATTACTTTGTAGTATTGGAAGCTATGATATTCCTATGGTATAAGAACCAAAGTGGAGACAAAAGTTAATGACATCAAATAGTCAGGGAAATATAAAAAGGATACATATAGGTACAAGAATTTATTCACGGCCAATAAAACTGCCAACTCCTTTAGTAATTTTAAAAATAAATTAAAGTACCAGAGGTTATTTTTAAAATCCCAGGTTGATTAAGTCTGGATAGGACAAGAAAAAAATTATCTGGCTGCAGGTTAATAGAAATTCTTATATCCCTGTTGGTGGCAAGATAAATGATCTATTACTGGTTGCTGAGATGACAACAGCAATTAAGAAACAAGTGAGGATATTCTGATCCTATGATTTCATCAGAAAGAAATTTATCCTAAGAGAATACAAATTCAAAGCATTAAATGACAGTAAAGTGGGACTTTAACAGTGATTTCTCTGCAACTAGTAAAAGAAAATGTTTTGGGGCGGGGGAGGGGGGGCTCATGGCTCCTTAGGGTTAGAGTCTATGACTATTATGACGAGGGGCATGGCAGCAAGCAATCAGGCATGGCACTGGAGCAGTAGCCAAGAACTTACAGCCTCTAATCCCCAAACTGGAGCAGAGAGAGCTAACTAGGAATGGCATGGGCTTTTGTGTAGTGATAAGAGCGGCGAGGCTGCGTCCCAGGCACCCGGCCGCCTACATGGCTAGCTTATGCCCGAAATAATTACACAGAAACTGTATTCTTTTAAACACTGCCTGGCCCGTTATCTGTAGTCTCTTATTGGCTAGCTCTTACATATTAATCTAACCCATTTCTAATAATCTGTGTAGCCCACGAGCTGGCTTACCAGAGAAGATCTTAACCTGCGTTTGTCTGGAGTGGGAGAATCATGGCGACTCCTCGACTAAGCTTCTTTCTCCCAGCATTCTCTTCTGTTTACTCCACCCACCTATGTTCTAACCAATAAAATGGGCCAAGGCAGTTTCTTTATTATAATTAACCAATGTCCTTCCTCCATCACTTTTGAGACTTCAAAGCGACACACCTCCAAAATGGCCACACCTCCTATCCTAGCTAGGGTTCCCACTGCTGCAATGAAACACCATGACCACAACAACTTGAGGAGGAAGGGGTTTATTTGGCTTATACTTCCATATTACTGTTTATCACTGAAGGAAGTCAGGACAGGATAGGAACTCAATCAGGGCAGAGACCTGGAGGCAGAAGCTGATGCAGAGGCCAGGAGAGGTGCCGCTTATTGGCTTGTTCCCAAGGCCTGCTCAGCCTGCTTTCTTATAGAACCTAGGACACTACCCCAGGGATGGCACCACCTACAATGGCTGTGCCCACTCCAATCACTAATTATGAAAATACCTTACAATAGGATCATCCTAGAGGCATTTTCTCAATTAAGGTTTCCTCCTTTCAGATAACTTGAGCTTATATGAGAATTAGCCAGTATACCTCCTAATCCTTCCCAAACAGTTCCATCAACTGGAGACCAAGCATTCAAATATATGAGCCTATGTGTGTGTGTGTGTGGGGGGGGGCATTCTCATTCAAATCATCACAATGGCCATGAGCCTCGTGGTAAAATATAAAATAATAGAAATGGGTTAATTTATGATATAAGAGTAAGCCAGAAATACACTTAAGCTATTGGCCAAACAGTATTGCAAATAATACAGTTTTCGAGTGATTATTTCATGGTCTGAGCAGCTGGGAACAGACAAGCGGCCTCTGTCTACATATTATAATGCAATGCTATTTAGTAAAATGTAATGCTGTTTAGAAACTATTAAAAACATTACAGGTATGTCTACTGCTTTACAAAGATACCTGGATATAATAAAGAGTCTGAGGATCCAGGTAAGCAGTACCAAACCCTGCTAAGTAAGTATATGAAATATAAGGCTGGGGCTCAGGGAAATGATTTGTAAATACATATATAATTACTATTATATATTTTTAGCTGTAGAAGAGTACACAAACAAAACATGAATAGTTATGTGTTAACGCATACAAAGGGAATTAAGGGGTGGGAACAGGGGATACATACTCATGAAGCACCACGAAAGCCCAGCAGGACTTCCACCACTGACTAGAGTTGTATCAGTTACCTTTCGCCTCTCATCATCTGGGTAAGTCCAGTAGGAGATACAGTTTCCAGAGAGAACACACCATCTTCGATGCCAGGCACCAAAACCACTAACATCTTCAAATATGGTCTGGAAGTCAATTGAAATACTGACATTAGAAAATTAAAGAAAAATGTTCTTATCTGTTACATTTTTATGTGAAAATCTATTTGTATGAGTTTATCGTGTCTTTTACTTCAGCAATAAAAGTCAGATTGTTCTATCAAAAATGCATTTAAGAATATCTAGACCAAGCTGGGCGGTGTGGTGCTTGTGATCACTGTGAGGTCAAGGTCAGCTGAAGCTACCGTAGTCCCTGTCTTGAAGTGCCACATCTTCTGAATGGCTGTCCTAATCACACTCAAGTTCACTGGGATGTATAGACTTTAGACATGGAGAATATTAGTATGTGATTAAAGGATAACTAGATTATCAAATGTGATAAAGCAGGGACTGATGTGACTGACAATCTGCCAATATAGGCAAAGCTGTCTTTAAAATGTCCTGCTTCATAAAAAAGTCTGCCAAATACTATGGGCCTTTATGCTGGAGATAGATGCTCTAATGTTACAAAAAAATCTTTGGGTGACTGTCCAGGCAGCAAGATGTCTCTATCAATTCTAGAGTTTTGAAAGTAGCTTACAATTCATTTCCTATTTACTTAGGTAATTTTATATCCTGGTATCTTTGATGGAGTTAAAAAATAGTTATAGTTTTCCTTAGTTATGATAAAAGATAAAATAGATATCAATACTGTAATTATAATTCTTGCTTAATAACTGTTTTATTATATGTAATTTTACTATACTAAAGTTAAAACCTTCCTTTTTATTTAAATAGAAAAGGGGAAACATTGTGGAAAGTCTTTTTGTCTATGTGTTGCTTTTATTGGTTAATGAATAAAAAAGCTGCTTTTAGTCAATGGCTTAACCAAATATAGCCAGGCTGTAAAAGATATATACAGACAGAGTAGGCGGAGTCAGAGGAGACACCATGGGAAAAAAGAAGTAAGCTGCTATTTGGAACCTTGCCGGTAGGCGACAAACCTCATGGTAAAATATAAAATAATAAAAATGGGTTAACCAAAGATGTAAGAGCTAGCTAGCAATACACT